TTGCGACGCATCGTTCGCCCGAAGATGTCAGCGGTAAAAAGAGGCAACGACCCTCGCGCAAGGTGGGCGGGCGGCGTCTTTCAGGGGTCGCCTGGGGGCAGGCCGAGAGTTCATCGTTAGCACTCCGGAGCTCCGTCGAGTCTCGCGCGTTCAGGCGCCAAGGGAGTCGCGGGGAGAGGTGGAGTTCCGCCGAGGTGAACAGGGTGCAAGAGGGTTTGCCCTGGCAGCCAGACCTAAACGCTCTCGGAATGGAGGTTTAAGCCAGAGCGGTCGCACCGATGGCGACGCGTAGTCAAGGCTTAGCTGCCGATGCCCAGCCGTCAGTAGCTCGAGAGACCGCCGCGCTGAAGTTGGAGCGCCCTGCTATGGGCGCCACGCCGGGATGTTACAGTTGTACCTTGAGGAGGCGCCACCCACAGACCGCGTCGCGCGGAATGTCGAGAACCTTATCTCGACCGGCTTAGAAGACAAAAAGATCCGGACATGCAGGAGAGGTCAACGGTCGCTCAGATGAGAATCTGGCCAGGCGGCGCCAGCCAATGCGCGGGCAAGGTGGAATCGCTGACGGTTAATTGGGTAGTCTACAAAGGGTTAACAGTCCGACGACGCCGCGAACCCAGAACAAGCATGCACGTTCCCAGAAACACGTAGGGTTATGCCCCCTAATCCCTAAGCGGTAGGGCAGCGAGGGGCGCGCGAATGTGGCGTGCCAAGATACTATTGAGATGGGGGATGAATGTAAAGTGGAGTTGCGAGGGCTTCGGGCAGGTTGGACCGAGTTCTTTTCACGTAGCAACCACGCTGAACTCTCAGCCAACGTTCATCCATGAAGACCATTTGCGGCAGAGAGTGAAGCAGAGGACGCTGCAGACGACGAGAGAACCGAAAGGATAAGGATGCTGTCAAGGGGATGCAACCAGAGGGTCCTGCAGTCGAAGGAAATACGTAGCCCGACGACGAGGGTATGGAGAAAATGAACCCGATCAGGTGGGTGAGTGATGTGACAGTACGAACACCGACGAGGTGCGCGCCAGGTGAAACATGAATGCTTTGTTTTTGCACCGATGTAGTGGTGTGGGGGCTCAGTGCCGTTTCGGATGTCATCGCGCAGGTCAGTGAAGGTAGGTGGTAATGGGGATATGCAGCAAGGGTCAGCACGACGTGCAGTCGCAAGTTTTAAAGGCCCATTCGCCGCGCGAGTCTCGGCATTTGTTCAAGTTGTTGGCCAGTTTGAGTTGCATGCCGGTCCGAGTTATCGGCGCGGTGGTAAATGGAAACTAATACCAGGGTTCAGCCATGGGCTCAAGACGCGCGGCGACTATAGGCACCCATGTCGTTTCAGTTAAGCGGCCGCGCGATCAAAAGCGCGGCGAATTATCCAGAGCAGAGCGGCCTCGCTGCTAGCAGCCTGTCCCATGCCCGCCGCTTTCAGCAGGGCACGAGCGCCAAGTCGAATATCTTGGGCCAGAGAAGATGACGCGTTAGACTATGGGGCGAAGCGCGTCAAGTTTGGGTTTCAACGCTGCAAGACTCAGAGGGTCAGTGGTCTCTACGTTCTCCTTGAAAGCGGGGGCACTTGAGGCCTCTGCGTCGCCGGCGCAGAGAATCTCAGAACGCGGTCTTGCGCGGACATGATGGCAATCTGCGCCGTCGCGGCTTGGCGCGGCTCGCACGAGGAGAGGAGGCGCGCGCATGAACCCGCGCGTGCACGAGCCCCTGCGGCGAAGGGGCCCTCGGCGTGGAGCGTCGTAGCCGACGTCGACAGATTTTCGTTGCATGATGATGCCGAACAAGAGGTCAGAGGTAAATGTGTTTAATTCGAGCCGAATTCGATGTTTTGGTTAACTGGGCGGTGGTCGACGACCGGCTGAGGCGCCCCTTCAGAGCCTGCGACCCCGGAACTAATTGGAGAGAGCCGGGCAGAAGAACGGACATTCACGAGGTCCGGTTAAGAGCGAAATCATGGCGGCAGCGGGGCAGCGTTAATTTCAGCCAGAACAGATCATTTCACCCATCGGTCAAAGCCCCCCGGAAGTTCGGGGGGGTGATGCAATTCGCGCCTGCAAGATTTTTCAGGATTTGGGCGCCGGCCAGCGGCTCGAGGATCGGGGGGCCAGCCAGAGCGAGGGCAAGGGGCGGGGCGAGGAGTTCAGAAGGAGGGGGGCGACATATCGCAAAAAAGATTCACCGACTATGTTAGCCAGGCATCCAGCCACATTAGTTGATTTGAAGGAGCGCGCCGTGATCAGGGCCAGCTGAGACGCCGTGCACGCGGAAGTGTCACTGAAGTACAGCCAGGGGCGACGCTTCATATAGTGATCTCGATCCACTGCTCATGTGTGAAGCTCGGGATGAGAGAATGGAGAACTCGAGGAAGCGTGAGGCCTTGGGGAAACTATTGGATGGTCATTGCTGGGCCGCTGCTGTCAAAGCCCGCATAGGTGCGAGGTGGGTCGGCGCCAACTGCGGCGACGAGGCGAATCCTATGTGCCGATCCCAGCTGAAGACCCAGCAAGTTAAGCACATGCGAAATGACGCGCCGCACTTGCAGCCACCTGTCCATCGGGATTGCCCATGCCAGTTGACGCGGCAATCGGGCATAATCGATGGGGGGCGTGAGAAAGGACTCAAGGCGAGGTTCATAGATGTTAAGCGGGAGCGATTTGACTCCGTCGCCAAAACAACATCTTCACCGGGCTCCCGTATGAGATCGTTAACCAGGCCTGCGCGGAAGACCGCGGAAGTCAATGCGCGGCGCTTGGGACGCCGCCGCAACTGAGAGGACTGCCGCGTGGATCGCGCGGGTGACATTGGTTGCGGCAACGGAAAAGCTCCAGCATGTGCGTTCGCATATATGAGAAGGCGACTTAGGCCAAAGGCCGGACAGGGCGTTGATCCGGCCTGGTTCGGGGGGGGTTCATGGAAACTCGAAGCTTTAAGTCGAGGCAGACTCGGTCAGAGATCGAAGTTTCCGATGTCAATCCGGATTCTCAACAGCCGGATTCTTAACATAATTGTGGAGGGGGGCCGGGATGGGTCACGGGGTGCGTCGGGCCAAAGGCATGCGTGGGTATTTGTCAAAGAGTTAGGCCTGGAGCAGTGCAAAGTGGGATGCGAGGTGCCAGGTGAAAAAAAAACGTTGCGAAGATGAATATGCGGGGCCCTTGCCAAGCCATCAGTTTCAGAAATGCCAACCTTTGGTGTTCATGTCCAGCTATCTAAGAGAAGACCGCTCGGATATTCAAATTTTTAGTCAAGGAGCCGGCACATTCCATGTCGCCCCCTACCCGAGGGGCATGGGTAAGTTTTACAAAGTTGGGCAAGGTCCTCCAGGGCGACAACAGATTCGGGCACCAGCAGCCAAAGCCGACAGACTCCAATGTGTCTGACCTGTCCTTGCCCGTGCCTGCCCGCAGCGGCAATGGCTGCACTTGTACCGCTCTTCAACGAGATGCCACAATCAACTTCAAACTCCTTGCGAGCCGATTGCGGTCCGAGCGCTGCTTAGCTACTTTGCAAAAGCTCCGTACCACTTAACTTCCCCAGATGGTGGCGCCACCAAGCTCTGAATATAACCCCATGGCTTAATGATGTGTGATATCCACATTGTTGTGATTCCGAGCGTTACTTACCGCATTTCCTTACAACCTGTGAGACGAGGAGACATCAGCGTGATCCAAGTCGGGGCTGATGGGTACTTTGCAGGCGCTTGAGCTAAATATGGGGACTGGGACCACACTCGAGGTACTAACCAACGCATTGCCCAAGCAAGGGACGATTTTGTCGCCCGCTACAGAGTGTTAGCTTACATATCCGGTTTCCCATCTCGATCCGATTTGCCGGGGGCGTGAGCCCAGGGTCAGTTGAGGTGTGGGTGCTTGCCTGTGCAACGTTATACCTGTACAACGGAAGGCGTTATGCATATTGCACGGCCCGGCGCATTGTCACACTTAAGAAATATGGTGTTGCGTGTTCGGCGGGCCCTGCACGTTTATGCCCAAGTCATAGTTGCCATTTGTTTGCACCAGCCATGCTCATCAGTTTCTGTATGTTTCAGTTGGACCTGCTCGGGTGGAGTCCTGGCTCAGCTGTGCCACCAACCTGTTTCACATTCGCTCGTTACCCATTCGCTTGTGTTTATCAGCCGAGCGGGCTGTTAGATTACAGCGTTCCGATTGGTGGGGCATGCGCATGGCTGTAGTGGATACCACGATGCAGATGTCAAGGCGTTGGCGAGTGAACTTCGTGACGGACGAGGGTCCGTATCCAAGGTGGCTCAAGTTCCCATTCGCAGTTTCGTGAAAAAAGCCCCCTCCAGATGTTCAGTAGGAGGAGGATCGAGGCTTTTTGCTGTATCTGGCTTGTTTGTTGGCCTGCCGGAGGTTCCCGCCAACCTCCGGAGGACCTCCACCCCCGTGGACCCCTGGGAACCGTCCTCGCGCGTGGCGGAAAATGGCTAGGGCGAGGGGGGTCCCCCCCGTCTCTCCCCTCTGGTTTCTCGCCCTCCCTCCTTCATTTTTTTGCACCCCCTGCGCCCCAGATCGCCCCCGAAGGAGGAGGAGGAGGAGGAGGAGGAGGAGGAGGAGGCAGGGAGGCAGGGAGGCAGGGAGGCAGGGAGGCAGGGAGGAGGAGGAGGAAGAGGAGGAAGAGGAGGAAGAGGAGGAGGAGGAAGAGGAGGAGGCGGAGGCGGAGGCGGAGGAGGAGGGGGAGGAGGAGCGGGAACACCTCCCAGGCACGCGGGCGTTGGCGAACCTCCGTCGTCTGCGGGACACTGGGGTCGGTGCCGAGGGTGAGGGCGCAGACCTCTGCCAGAATCGAGGCCCCAGAGGGGCGCGAGACCGCTGTGCTCCCCGCTGCTTCCGGAATGGCGATGCGCTCCAGGATTCCTTAGAGCTTCCAGAGCTCCTCTCGCTCCGCACGGGCTCCAGAAAAGTCTAGCCGCCAGATACAATTGCGCCAGTCCGATTACGACCTTGACCTTGTCCCCAGATCCCCGCGCACAGGTGCTGCTGGACGTAGAGCTGATGATCTGGGAGCTGCTGCCGGCGCCCCGGGCGGGCGGCGCGGCTCAGGAGCCGGGCAGAGGTCCGATGTGTCTGGGTCCCTCCAGCGGCGGGCATGGAGGCAAGCGCCACCCCCCACCCGAAGACGCGCAAGCGCTTCCCCACCCGTTCCCAACGCGTGCGTCGCACGCGTTTGCGCAGTTTTTGCGTAGCGTTTCCTGCAGTCGCGCGCAGCTCCCAGGCAGTTCCGAGGCAGCACTTCTGGGTCCCAGGCAGGCCCCAGGCAGCGTTCTCTGGGCACGTGGGCAACGGCCAGGCAGCTTCGTGGCAGCGCAGGAGCAAGCTGCACAACCCTCCATTCCCGGAGGTCCGCGCGGATCTGTTGGAGCGGCGTTGGATCCCCCCTCCCTGGAGTGGCGGCGCTCGAGGTGCCGCCAGGGGGGTCCAGCGCCGCTCCAAGAAGTCTGCGCGCGGAGGTCCGAACGTGTGTGTGTGTGTGTGTGTGTGTGTGTGTGTGTGTGTCGGTTCGTTGTTCCTGCCTCTATCGGCGCGGGGTCGACGCCTCTGCGGGGGATGTAGGCTGGGCATCCTCCGGGGGCTGCCCCCGAATTCGGTCGAGAACTTTTGCTAAGTGTGTGGCGACGCCAGTTCGGGTCCACCATACATCGTCGCGACATGCGCGTCCCAGTCCCCACGCATCAACGCTCGGGGCCTTCCGCAGCCTCCCGCCTCGCGGAGGGGAGTGAGGCGCCATCAGCCTGCAGGGCATATCTCGTGTCGCCTGGGCCGCCGCCGCCACGAGCCAAGCAGAGCTCTTGACCGTGGCATGAGCATCCTGCGGGGGCTGCCCCAGGGTACAAGGGCGCCCTCGAGGGCGCGAAGTTATTCGCGCGTCGCGCTTCGCGGTTCGGCTCCGATTCCTCCTTCTCTTCCTCTTCTCCCCTGGGAGGCGGCGCGAGAGCACGAAGTCTTTCGCGCTTCGCGCAGCGCGAAGCGCGAAGCTGGGCGCCCTCGGAGTGTGCGGGGCGCTTCCGGGAGGCCCTCGCCCTCGGCGCAGGGCCCCCCCCGCGGGCGAGAGGCCGGCGGAGGTGAGTCCGCCACCGGTCCGCCGGCGGAGCGCCGGGGCGGCAGGCGGGAGGAGGGCGGCGGGAGCAGCAGAGGGGGCGTCAGGGTGCAAGCAGAGGCGAAGCGTCCTGGCTCGCCTGCGGGCCCCCCCGCGAGCGAGAGGCCGGCGGAGGTGAGTCCGCCACCCGTCCGCCGGCGGGGCCTGGGCGGCAGGCCGGCGGAAGGCGGCGGAGGCAGCAGGGGGGCGTCAGGGTGCAAGCGGAGGCGAAGCGTCTTGGCTCGTTTATAGAGGCCTGCCATAGAAAGGTTCTCAGAACCTTTCTTGCGATCTCCACGGTATGTTCTTAGAGGAACAGTTCTGGCCGGGACTGCCTTGTTGTAGCGCATCGGGCTCATGTTCTAAGAGCACTGTTTCTGTCATTAGAACAGCTTTGGGTTCTAAGAAACTTTCTCGGCAGGCCTGTAGGAATGCCGGGACGGTCGGTTCCTGCTCAAAAGGTTTCTGGTTCTCAGGGTTCGGGAAGTCGGTCTTGCAGGCCAAGCTTTTGCCATGATTTTCGGGCCTCCCTTCGAATCAGAACTATGATGCGTGGTCGCAGTTCCACTTCCACTCTGGGCGCGCGGAAGTTCAGCTGGATCGAATCGCTTCACGATTCCGCCGCTGAGGTCGTCTTCTTGCTGTGACCGCTCCACGCCCCCCCCCCCTGCAAACTTGTGACGGGAGGGAAACAATTTTGAGGACCTGTCCAACGCCTTGAGGAATCGCATGGCGGTTCACCACCATGCTTGCCCTCCATGGACCAGTTATGGGCTCCGGGGCCGTCGAGAAAACGATCCGCGTGCTTTGAGATCGAAGACCCTCGCCCTTGGCCTATCCCGCCACAGCTGCCTATTTGCTTTGTATGTTTATGGTATACCGCAAGTGGTGATCACCACAGAGGCCCCCCCCCCCCCGGTTTTTGGGTCTCCATCCCTTTCCTCTGTAGTCCGCCTTCTCTTCCGTCCTTGATTCGCTGCCCCCCTCTCCACACTTCCGTCCACGCATTGCTTTCTCGTTTTCCCTTTTTTCCCCAACCATCCTGTGGTGTTGGGCCCTCGTTTTGAAAAGAGAGCGCCCCGCGTTCCTCCTCTTCTTCTCTCATGCTCTTCCTCCTCCTCCTCTTCCTCCTCTTCCTCCCTACTCCCTCCTCCCATCCCTGCCTCTGCTCGCATGCCGACATCGTCTTTTTCGTAATCGTCAACATTAGCATCACCATCAACATCATGTTCATCACCACCATCATCACCATCTTAACCACCATCCATCATCATCTGCATCATAATAACCATCATAATCATCATTAGTCTGGGAGCTCCAGACCTCTTTAGACACTCATCATGATGATGATGATGATGATCATCATCATCATCATCAGCAGCACCAGCATCATCATCATCGGCCTCGTCGTCATCATCATCAGCATCATCAGCATCAGCATCAGCATCCGCATCATCATCATCAACATCATCATCATCATCATCATCATCATCATCATCATCATCATCATCATCATCATCATCATCATCATCATCTCTACCACCATCATTATCAGCATCAGCAGTATCGTCGTTGTCATCGCCATCATTCCCGACAGCGTCGGCACACCGCTCACACCCATCGTGGCCCCGTAAGGCAGCTCCGCCGAAGGTCCTAAGGGGCGCCGCCAGCATGCGTCCTTGCTTTGGGGCGCCCCTCACGATGACCGTGGCCGCAGCAGGAGCTTCACCTAGGCTCCTACGGGGCGTGGGCCGCACGCGTCCGACGCACCACATTTTGGCACATCCCTCGCGAGAATCGTGGCCCCATAGGGAGCTCCGCCGAGGGCCCTGACAACCGTATCTGGTTTCGTCCTTCACCAGGATAAGCTCTGGCCTGCCGTCCACGGTGCTCCTCGCTTGCTCTCCTTCCTAATTGGCGCATTCGATGTTGGCGATGCCTAGTGGTGCGTTCCCCGCTGGTCCTGCGATTTTCTGTTGCACGTCGTTGTGTCATTTGTGCGGTTCCTGTCGTTGCAAAGATGAGACGAAGAGGGCCTGGCTGGGACTCAGCGCTGTGTTAAAAGACCGGTCTGTGGCTTGTGGCTTGGGAGCTTCGCTAGTCGATCCGTGCCGACCTTCGAGCAAGTGCCGATCCAGTGGACTGACAGGTGTAACGAGCACATGGAGGCCTTAGGAGGCATCTCAGATGGCCCAAAGTTTAAAGATGCATTCAATGGTGCCCCGGATATTGCCGCGAGATGCCTCCCAACGGGCCCCGAGGGCCCAAGAGGCGCCCATGATCGCCGTGAAAGTACCAAAGAGGCCGTCGAGGGGACTGCAGCAGACTCTTCAACTTACCCGAGCGGTCCCGATGGAGCCCCAGTGCTTCCGAAGTCGGCGGAAGGGACAGCCCGACTGCCCCCTCGCAGCTTTGTACGACCACGCGCACAGACAACCAAGCGCCACGCGCGGGCGGGCACAGGCACGCGCGGCCACGGTGCGCCGATACACACGCAGACACGGGCACACGCCCACACCATGCAATCACGCGCACGCGTGCATTCGCGGTAGCGAGCACACGGGTGAACGAGCACATGTGCACGCATGCGCAGATGCGCACATTCGCGCGTGCGAACGCACACACGCTCGCTCACGCTCGCTGGCCCCAGCACGCACGGACACACATGCAGACACACACACACACACAACCACACAACCACACACACACACATACACACTCACGACTACCGCACCGCACTATGCGCTTGCGCACGCATGCAAACGCGCCCGCACGCACGTGCGTGGTTTAGCGCAGACGGGAACGCCCGCGCGTACACGCGCATATGGGGATGCAATGATGGGTCAGGTGTCACGTGCCGTGCTGGCAACACAAGCGCACCGCGCACCACACGCTCATGCACACTTGCACACACGCGCGCGCACTGCCCACAGGCACGCTCGCGCGTACACGCGCGCACATACGCACACACAAGCACACAAAAGCACACGCATGCACACGTTTCCTTCGACACTTCGTGGCGTCGCGGCTATTCGCTCAGCGACGCGGCGCAGGCAGTTGGAGAGCCGAAACGCACAATCACACACACACACACACACACACGCACGCGCGCAACAAAAAAGCAGCTTCGCACGCGGACGCACGCGAACACGCGCGCAGGGGCGGCGCAAACAGCAGTGCACATCGCCCGCCCGCGCAAGCACATCGCCCGCCCGCACAAGCACACGAGCACAGACGCACGCACGCAGACACGGCCACGCAACTCTGCATCAGCGAAGTAGGCGCACGCCGCCCGCCCACGCGCTGCGGGCAGATCTGTTGTCACGAACCAGACCACGACGGTTCTTGTTCGAAGGGGCAACTGGGATGCATCGATGAGTGCCAGACCAGTCTGGATCACCCGCGAGGGCGCGAAGATCATCGCGCTCAGTGCGTCACGGTCTGGGGCAGGGCGGCTGGCCCTTCCTCAAGCCGGCGGCGCGAGGGTGCGATTGTTATCCTTTTGTCGCGAAGTGCGGCGCGAAGTGTACGACATCACGTGATCGAGAGCAGCTCAAGGCCAACTCCTTGAAAGAAGTATCGAACACATGCAAGGCAAACGCAACACTACACTGCGACCACTGTGCCTGAAGCGGTCGGATGGAAGGGCGAAGTGGCGCAACGAAGTGTTGCAACCATCGAGGCGCTTTAGAGATCAACCATGCAAATCAGTCTCAAAGTGAAAGAACACTGACTGATATCCAGGTCTTAACTCGACGAAGACAGAACCATTGAACACCATGGAACATGAGCTGCGCTTCGTCCGGCATGGTTACCAAACCACAACCAGTCCATGTGTGTTTGAAGCGCACTTGTAAAGAAGCAATGTCCTGCACGGTGACTTGCAACATCAAGTGCAACTTCTTTAGTGCCAGTTGTTTGAGCCCACATCGAAAAAAGCACGCGCGCATATGAACGCGCGAGCACGATTTGCCACATGGACATGCACGCGCACCAAAGCACACGTACACATACCCATACATTGGTGGTTCTTCCTGTTCATAACCCGATCCGATGCCTCGCCCTTGCCCAAATCTGCCCAGCATCCGCCCCTGCTTGAACTGCTGCTCGCCCTCTTCCCCGACGCCTCTCGCGCTGGCCGAGGAGCGCCAGTCGAGCCTGAGCAAGACGGGGTTGCAGGTGGAGCACGCGGAGGCAACTGTCAACGAGTGCTCGTCGGGCGAGGGCGCGCTGGACCTGCCGGCGGAAGGCGCGGATGCTGCTGCCGAGCAGAGCTCGTCGGGCGAGAGCCTGCCGGAGCTCCAGGCAGAGCGCTCGGATGCCACTGCCGACCGGTGCTCTTCGGTCGAGAGCCGGCCGGCTGTGTCGGCGGAGCGCGCGGATGCAGTTGCCGACCAGTGCTCCTCGGACAATAGCCAGCCGGAGATGTTGGCGAAGCGCGTCGGGTGGAGCTGCAGGTGGAACGGTCTAGCTGTTTTTTGTTCCACTTCCCCTCGCTGAGTCGAGTCCAGTAAACGGAGGAATTACGACGCCAGGCTGCCACGTCAAAGCACGGGTTGCAACGCCCGCAAAGGGATATTCGGACTGAGAAACCTGAACACGTGCCAAGGGTGCCCCGAGAAGGTGGGTGCGAAGGTACCCTGCTTCTGGGTCTCATCCTGATGGCAGGGTCCGTTTGACCTCCCGTCGTCAGGGTTTTGCGGCCTCCCTCGCCCAAGGTCAAGGTCGAGGGCGAACACCGAGATCTGAGGCCACGGGCCCCGCGACGGCGCCTGGTGCTCGCAGCACCTAAGGTGGGAAGGGATTGCAGCCCTTCGCTCATCCTGCCGCTCGTCCTCCGACCCCCTCTGCTTACAGCGCTCGACCTCCCCCCCCTCTCTCTCTGTCTCTCCCTCCTCCCCTGCTCCCTCGTCATCCCTTTCTCTCCTCTCCTGCACACGTGGAGAGAGACCTGGTGCCCAGATTGCGGATCGGCCGCGCTCCCCCCTGGCCGAGGCCGTTTCCTGTGGCTTTCCTCTTCCTCGTCCTCCTTCTGATGCTCGTCCTCCTCCTCGTCCTCGCATTGGCTCTGATTTCTCTTCCGCCCTTTTTCTTCCTCCTCCTCCTCCTCCTCCTCCTCCTCCTCCTCCCTCTGCTCCTGCGGCCATCTCCTCTTCCTTCCCATTCCTTTTCTCTCTTTCCATGATCCTCCACTTCTTCCTCCTGCACCTCCTTTTCCTTTGCTCACCCTCACGCCCTCCATCATCCCTCCTTCATTCGTTCCCTCCTTCTCTTTTTCCCTCCCCCCCTCCACTATACATCCTCCATCCCTCTGCCCTTCCCTCGTGTCATCCTTCTTCTTCCCCCCCCCCTCTCCTCCAGTTGCCCTTCCTCGCTCCTCCCTCACCTTCTCCACCTCGTCCCCGCCCTTCCAACCCTCCTCCTCCTTCCCCTCCTCGTTTTGCTGTTCCTGCTGCGGTTTGGTCTTTTTGTTCACCTGCTCATCCTGCTCCTTATCGAACGCTGTCCCTCCTCCGTCTTCCCATTCCCATTTTCTTGGGGTTTAACTCGTGGGAGGCTTGTTCCAGTATCGGCGCTGGTACATTCTTGGTCGAACCCCGGCTTAATCCAGCACCCGTTATCTTCGTTGATTCCGCCTGATTTTGTGTAACATAGCTTCACCACGGACGTCATTCGGTTGGCCTGATATCCCTTGGATGTAATTGCGAAGACCTCCCAGGAATTGCCTCCTAATTGTTGCTCCTCTCTCTCTTTCCACTCTCCCTTCTTCCCCCGTTCTCCAGGAGGCCGGGCCACAGCTGCACCCTCCCCGGGAGCATTGAGACGGGGGTCAACGCAAACGGGGGTCAGCCAGAGCGCTGGACCTTTTGCAGGACCCTGCAGAGCCAGGGGTGCATTGACCTGGGCTTACGCGCAGGACCCTGCAGGATCTTGCAGTATCCTGCAGAGCCCGACCGACCCGGGTTTGTATTGATCAGAGGGCGAAGAACGGTATCATATCGATTTTTTTCCGCCGTCGTGGGCGCTTGCCCCCCGGGCGGCTGAAAGTTTATAACCCCACGGTGCCAGAAACAGTTTCTTTTGTACCGTTCTTCGCCCCCTACATTGACCCCAGTTGCGTTGCATCTTCGGGGCGCCTCGTCTGCCCTCAAAATCGGTGTCGTGTCTTGTGCCCGACGTGGGCTCGGTGCGGACTCGACGCGTAATTGGCGTAATCCGACACAGAGTCGACGCGGATTCGACATGGATTCGACGAGTCCGACATGGATTCGGCACGGACTCGACGCAAGGGGCGCGACGGGACAGAGGTCCCTCGAAGATGCAACATAGCAGCAGCTCTTCGATTTGCCCTGCCGCCCTGCTTCCTTTTTTTGTCTTGCGCCTCCCCATCCACTCGGGGCCGGCAGAGAGGGGGGTGATGACTACGTAGGGGGGGGAGGGATATTGGCGTGGGCCATGATCTTTCCTCAGATCTCCTGGCGCCCCTTCGTATCTCACTACGTTTCCGGCGCCCCCCCCTGGGCCGCGCACGTGCCTCGGGCCACGATTTGCACCCCCCCTCTTTCAGGAGGGAAAGAAACACACACACACACACACACACACACACACACACACACACACACACACACACACACCACACACACACACAAACACACACAGACATAATGCATCGTCGACTACCAGGAAAATTTGGAAAAACATGGAAAGTGGGGGAAGAGGGCGAACACCAATAATACATACATATATATATATATATATATGAGAATACATGGGGAAGCCTGGGATTTGTGTGTGCCTATTTGTGTGTCCCTGGGCCCCTTCACTCCTGGACGCCCTCCTCTTGGGACGCCCCCGGCCCGCGGCCCGGAGAGGAGGCCCTCCCACCCGCCGGCGGCGGGGGCTCCTGGGCCCTCGCCGCCCCGGGGCGCGCGCTCTCCCCAAAGGGGCCGCGGGGGGAGACATGCGCCGGTGGCCTCGAGTGATGGGCCAGTGTTTCACCACCACCACCATCATAAGTTGGAGGGGGGGTGTCCTCCTCCTCCTCCTCCTCCTCCTCCTCCTCCTCCTCCTCCTCCTCCTCCTCTTCCTCCCTCTCCTCCTCGTCGACCTCCTCCCTCTCCTCCTCGTCGACATCCTCTTCCTTCCTCTCCTCCTCGTCGTTTTCCACCACCACCACCACAAGTTGGAGGGGGAGGAGATCGTACTCCAAACAGCGTCGTTGGGCTCGGCCTCGGCGAGGCCCGAGGGGAAGCACCCCCAGCCAGCGAGATCAGAAGACAGTTGCTTCGGCCGAGTCGTTTCGATTTGTGCTGCACGGTGCGCAGCGTTTTCGACCTCGAAGTTTTCCGATAATTTCGACTGTCGATAATTTTCCGAGGTTTCACGCCGCCCGATTCCGCTTCGGCCCGATACGAGACGACCACGCGCAATGCCGAGTCTTCTTCTTCTTCTTCCTCCTCCTCCTCCTCCTCTTCCTCTCTCTTCTCCTCGTCCTCCTCCTCGTCCCCCCTCCAACTTATGGTAGTGGTGATGGAAAGCAGACCCAGGGCTCAAGAGTCTGGAGGTAGGAAAGGCCCAAGGCCCAGAGATCCCACGTATGGAAAAACGCACGGCGGAGGTTTTTCGCTATCTTCGGCCTCTGGGGGCCCTTGCCAGGGCTGCGGGACGTCAAGAATCGACTCAGGATGAAAAACCGGTCCTGGGGAATGGGTGGATAATTTTGGAGTTAGGAAAGGGGTATGGTAGAAAGGGGTGTGGTGTTAATCTCATGTAAATGAGACCCTGGTGATGTGATTTCTCGCAGACAGCATCGCCATTTTCACGATCGGCACCATGCCCCTTGATGCCACACCCCTTTCCTACCTCCAAAAAGAGGCGGGGGTCGGTGCAGACGGGGATCGGTCAGATCGCCAGAACTGGCAGGATCCGACGGGGCCAGGGAGCGCACTGACCCGGGCTGGCTTGGGCGCAGGCTCCTGCAGGGTCCTGCAGGATCCTCCAGGATCCTGCAGAGCCCGACTGACCCGGATCTGGGTTGACCAGGGTCCGTATGGCCCCGATCTCGGGACCCCGGCGCCGTCGAAGAGTCCAGCGACGAGGACGACGACGAACGACAAGCGTCGCCAGAGGATCGACGACGACCATTGACGAGGACCTGCGGTGCTCAGGGCGCAAATCCCTGGGAGACTGCAGTCGGGAGGCTTGCGCCATTCCGCCGACCCCCAGAAGAAGGACGACGTCGACTGGTGAGGCCGTTCGGGGCCGCTGGTGCGCGCCCTGGGCGCGTCGCTGGCCTTCTGGGGTGTTTCTTGGGCGTCGCTGGCGGTGTGGCCTCACTTGTTCGGAGGTGGATCGACCTCCTACCCTGACCCGTCGACTAGTGAATTGGCCGTTTTCGGTTCGCGAGAGGGCCTCGCGGCCGTCAGTTCTGCGGGTCCAGGTTCGTCGGTTTCGCTCCTAGGCCGTTTTCACTACAGGGGGGTTTACCACAGGGAGGCTTGTCCACCACCGAGTTGTGGTTCTTAGGATGCGACTCTCTTTTCTACGAAGCAGCCCCCGTAATAGCATGACATCGAAGTGAAACCATATGTGCACACCTGCGCGAAGCATGTGCTGCCGCTCTGGCCGTCGAGCTGATGCAGCTGCCTTTGCTTTTCGTGGCAGCCTGCGTTGAAACGCTTTTACACTGCGACAGTCCACTACTTCTTACGGCAAGTTGTTGAAAGCATTAATTAGTAATGTTGAGCATCGACTGTCCCAACATTGCAGTGTAGACACGACTACGACTCCTGGGAGACTAGATTCAGCATTGGCGCTGTTACATCCGTGATCGAGAACTTGCCGGCCTACTCCCGCTGAGCCCAGATTGTTTCCGCCCAATCCCGCAGAGTCTGGCTTAGCCTGGGCTTCCCATGGACGTAATATGGGCTTATCTGGAACAATGGCCGTTCATCTGGCTTATCAGCCTTGGGTCGTTGTTACGAGGGCTTCCCTGACGTTGCCTTCTAACGATTCAAATGCCGACGCGAGTCCGAGCAAGCAATAACAACGTTCAAGATTATGTGACCTGCTCACTTGAACCCCACAGCAATTTCACCAGTCGCGGGGGCAGCTGGCAGTTTGGCCACGGCGTTACAGTGCAGGCAAGGTCCCCAGTATGAAGACGCTGTGGCTTGGCTCCCGTTTGACTTTGCATGTTTTTTGCGGTGGACCCGCAGGCCATCAGTGTATCCACGCCGATGTCCTGGTTGATCGGGTCAGCGACTGAATTGCAAAGGTTAGAGGTCGGCGTCGAAGGCGACACCAGCCTCAAAAGTAGATTGCAGCTCCTGCGCTAAGTGACACCCACAGATCGCACCCAGTTGTCCAGATGGCCATAATTCACATTCTCTGGACATGCGTGAAGCCATTGCAATGCAATGCCTAGCTTCGTGTGCCACTGGCGCGTTCTGACGAACTAGCTACACGGACTAATCCTAAGAAGGCTTGCGGTCGAATTGATTGCTTTCTGAAGTGCTGCCTCTGGATTGCATCCAGCGGTTCAGTGGTGATTGCTCGTGGTGCAGCTGAGAGTTGTGAGCAGGATGCACAGGCCCAGAGCATCACATTAGCACCGTTGTTGCAGGTATTGCTGCAAGCGGTAGCGATAGTTCTCGTGCCTCTGTATTCTTGCCGGGGCTCTATTTTAATAGCCAGCTTCATTCGAGCCTTGGCGGTAGCACTTGCCCTTTGATGGCGAGTGGTCTGCCTGGGATAACTTGATTGCACAGTGGTGTGAGGAGTTGGTAGTGTATGGGTGCACGCTCTGTACAAACCAGAGCTGTTGCGTGGGAGAATAGTTACTGCGCGTGACGGCTGGGCACTTGCCCAACACTGCGTCACCTGCACCATCTATCCGCTCTGCGACTCTTAGCTCAGCTCATGCAGCGATAGCGATCGCCGTTCCCCGAAGCCGCACTCTGCCACTCGCTCCTTGGATTTGCCATTGCCTCGCTCAGGTCTCCACCGCAGCAGGTGACAGCGACGGGAGCCAGGTGTTCGACGTCATGAGGTTTTCGTGGCGTGGGCTCTTCTCGACATGTCGATCCCCCAACCCTGGGGATTGCTCTTTCCCAGAGCGCCGGGAGGGATTCCCGTTGTGCGTTCCCCTGGGGGGCCCTTGAGGGGACCCCTCGAAGTCTGGCCGCGGCCACGCGGGAGAAGCCCGGCGGGCAGCCGGCGGAAGCCGGCGGGCGGCGGCCGCCCGCGGCACGAATGGTTTCAGATGGCTACCAGATGGCCCAGGATCGTTCGCCATCGCCCCCAAGACGTTTCCGGGAGGGCGAGAATGGCCTCCAAACGCTCTCAGATGGTCCCCGAATGGCCCAAGGCGGCCCCAGAGCAGCCCCTCAAGAGATGCCCCAGAGGGCTCCACGAGGACCCTCAGGAGGTCCTCAAGAGGCCAAAACCGTTGATTGTCACAGGCGGTTGAAATCTCAGCATTCTCGCCTTTCAGGGGGTTCGACTCCTGACGACAGCCCATGGAGTGTTCCAAGGATGCCCAAGAGGCTTCGCGGACGGGCCCAAGACGACCTGCAAGATGGCTCCAGGGTGGGCGGCAGGCTCCTCCAGGATTGCCCACCATTGGCCCCAAGAGAACCCCAAGACGGGTTCCAAGAGGCCCCCCAAGATGGCCTCCGAACGCGTCAGGCGGCCCCAGAACGCTCTCCTCCCGCCCAAGAGGCTCGATGAGAGGCTCCGCGGGCCCCCCCCAGAGGCCCCAACGGAGACCCTAAGACGCCACTCAGAGGCCCCCTTAATCAGGCACGACAACGCCCAAACACTGCGCGCGCTGCTGACGTGCACCCCGCGAGGCGAACTAAACCCCGGACACACTCTGTCTATCTCTCTCTCTCTGTCTCTTTCCTCCCCCTCCTCTTCCTCCTCCTCCTCCTCCTCCTCCTCCTCCTCCTCCTCCTCCTCTCTCTTTCTTTCTTTCTTTCTCTCTCTCTCTCTCTCTCTTTCTCCCTCCTTTCTCTCGCTGGAACAGACGGAGGGCCCAAACGGACAGTGCCGTGACTCGCGGACACACTGTGAACCGACCTCGTGGCCCCGGCCGTTCCTCTCTTCCCTCACTTGGTTGGTTGTTCGTCGCTGCTTGTTGTTATGGTGCGTTTGTGAAACATTGTTTTTTGATTTGCGCTCTCTCTCTCTCTCTCTCTACATATATACCTATACGACCACCTTTCGGGTGATAAGGAGGTTCGGGGGGGGGAGGAACCAACGTCTCACTCGATCGGTCGCACTATCGATCTCACTATCGATCTCACTATCGGTCTCGCTCGATCGATCTCACTCGATCGATCTCACAATCAATCTCACTCGATCTATTTCATTCGATCGATCTCACAATCGATCTAACTATCGATCTCGCAATCGATCTCATTATCTATCGCACTATCGATCTCACAATCGATCTCACATTCGGTCAAACTACCGATCTCACTATCGATAGCACAATCGATAGCACAATCGATATCACAATCAACGTCATCATCATCATCATCATCATCAACAACATCATTGTCACCAACCTCATCAACATCATCATCATCATCAGCGTCATCGGGACACCATCATCATCAACATCACCTCATCACCATCATCATCAACATCATCACCATCACCATCACCATCATCATCGGGGCACCATCATCGTAACCATCATCAGCATCATCATCATCATTGGGACACCGTTATCATCATCATCATCAACATCGTCAACATCGTCAACATCATCATCATCATCATCATTATCATCATCATCATCTCATCATCATCATGAACAATGTCATCAACATCATTACCATCATCGGGAAACCATCATCATCATCATTAGCAACATCATCATCAACATCATCATCATCGGAACACCATCATCATCGTCAGCATCAGTATCATCACCATCATGATCATCAACATCATCGGGACACCATCATCATCATCTTCATCAGCATCATCATCACCATCATTGGGCCACGATCATCAAAATCAGCATCATCACCTGATCATCATCCTCATCATCAACACCATCATCACCATCATCATCGCGACACCATCATCGTCATCATCATCATCATTATCATCATCATCGGGACATCATCATCATCATCACCATCATCATCAACAGCATCATCATCAACCTCATCGTCATCGGGACACCATCATTATCATCTTCACCATCAGCATCAAATTATCGGCTCATCATCAACATCATCAGGATCATCAACATCATCATCATCATCAGGGCATCATCATCATCAGCAACAGCATCATCAGCATCATCATCATCGGGGCATCATCATCATAACCACCATCACCATCATCATCATCATCATCAACATTGTCATCATCATCATCGTCATCGGGATACCACCATCATCACCACCATCACCATCATCATCACCATCGTCAACATCATCAACATCATCAACATCATCATCATCATCATCATCGTCGGGACACCGACGGGACACCGGCGGGACACCGGCGGGACACCGCGCGCCACCGGCCCCCGAGCCGGACACCGGCGGGACACGGCGGGACACCGCGGGGCACCGGCCGCCCGGTCAAGGTTCTTTTGCTCCGGCCGCGCCTCAGCTACAGGAGACTCATCTCGCCCGCCCACGCAGGTTCGCCTCGCCCGCACGCACGGCACGCACGAACACGAAACCGAAATCGATTTCCCGGTAGGGGGGCTCTCCGTTTCACTTCGATCTCACCCCCTCACCTCCGATATATATATATATATATATATATATGTTTGTACAAGGTCCATCTCTCTCACACACGTTTCACGCTTGCTTGCTTGTTTTGTTGTTTTGCTTGCTCTCTCCACCGCCATCTCTCATGGTGGCACAGGCGGAAGACCCAAACGGGAAATGCAGGAACCAACGGACTCCTCCCGGGACGCCCAGGAAACAGCGCGAAGCATGCGAACGCATCCTTCCTCCCTCCTCCTTGCTACTCTTTAGATGGTTGCAATTTGCGAGGATGCAGGTTCTCGAAGGTTTCGGGTTTTCATCATCGTCTTCGGATGCTCTTGGAGATTCTTGAATGGTCTACCTGGTCCACGTTCGAAGATGGTTCGTCGATTTGCGATGCTGTTCCATTTCAGTAATTTCCCCACCTTGGACAAATGCTCCCGTTGAGTATCCCCCTGGGAGGTCTGGAAGTATCCCTCGAAACCTGGCCGTCAGTGCGAAATAGACAGCACGGGAACCAACATGAGGGCCCCTGTTTGAATCCCCCTCCTTATCTTTCTCTTGCTTTCAAGTCACGCGCACCTACGCTTCAAGGTCGGGGTTTGGGGTTCGTGGATCTACTGTACTACAAGGTCCATGCCAGATTGGCATGTGATAGCCCTTGGGCCTCGAATGGGCTTCAAGGCTTTCTGTGTCAAGCAACTGGCCGTCTCATTCTTGGGCACCTCCGAACGTAGTGGGCCCTGGAAACTACAGGGCCGTTTTTTTACCGGTTCCGTTTTGCCGTTTCTTGACTGGTTACGCCGCCGTTTGTTTGCCGGTTCCGTCGCCGTTGTTTGTTCCCGTTCCGGTTCCGGTTCCAATCCTGGAGCCGTTTTTGTTGCCGTTTCCGGTCGCCATCTTTTACCTCCTCCATTTTCGAGAGACGTTTTTTTTTGTTTTCGAAAACGATGAAAACACGGCCTTGCCGTATCCGAGGCCCATTAAGCCTCCAAAGTCGTCTTTTCGACACGTATTGGGGTGCGTACTGGCGCAAATTCCGAGAGGGAATCCAGCAATGGCCACGAGGGCGCCCCAGGAGGCCGCCAGAAATGTCAGAAGCTAACAAAAGGGGCCCGCCAGCGGCGCGTACAGTCGGACCGAGGTATCAGA